CTAACAAATGTCTGAATATATTACTTCACTCGCATATTTCTACAGAGCATGGCACAACTTAAGTACAGAAAGTGATGTTCTAATAAATGTTAGACACTTCATATAAAACCAAAGAACTCGTGCATTTTTTATAAATATATGATATTTCATTTTTAATTACCTAAATATAGATAATTCAAACTATTTAAACACTGATTTTTAAATTAGGCAGAAACAATAATAATAATACTTGTACTCAAAAAATGTTTTACAAGCGTAATCAGCAAATATAATTTGACGAAAACGAAAAAAAAATGCTTTATTATTATTTTTTACTTTGCTAAGCAAGCGAAATGTCATAAACGTGATGCTAACATAAATAGTGTCCCCTAGTGATTTAGTGGGAAGCTTAAGGGCTTATAACAGTAAAATTTTGGTTCTGATCTCCTCGTGGTGGTAAAGCCGTAGATATCTCATTTTCATCTATGCATTAAAAATAAAGGATACAAATGGGTGCTTTGGAACTTTTTTGGGCAATAAAAATAAATGATTAATTAAATAAAGTTTCCACCTTCTCATCACGTTAATTTTTACTGTGAACATTCGATCTCAAGACTCCTTTAAGCTACAGTACACAGTGTCATTTTGATACCATACTTTATGTCGAATAACCGAGCAACAGTACACATTAAACATGTTGATATCATACTCTATGTCGAGTAAACGAGCAACAGCATATATCCATATCTGTCATCTGTTATTCAAGACGTTAGTATTCCATTGAATTAACTAAGTTATATAGTAAAATTATGCTAATAGGATATAAAAATGTGTACACATGATGATATATGAATCTAATGCATAGACCAAAGTTTCACAATAAGTAAAATATTTATCTTCTTAGAAAGTTCGTGAGGTTAATCATTACACTATGTTGAGAATGACAAACATTATTGTTAATTGTGTAAAGTGATATATATATAATCAGGAAAGAAGATTAATAAGATGTTGCTATAAAAATCAGACTTGGTTTTGATTTGTTAAAAACCAAAACGTCCGGTGTAATCGTGGTGGTACTTGAAACTTTTCTTTAATACCACTATATTGTACTAGCGTTTCTCAAAATGGTGTATGATAGAAATATGCGTGGTACCCGTGAAGACCATTGAATTATTGTGTTAATTAGTTGTGTACTCTACCTTTACAATGTCTTGTCTGCAAGATTAATTCTTCATTACCGCTACAGTTAATTGAAATTATTAACATTTTTAGTAACCAAACTTCTCTACTTCATTCCTGGCTCATGAGAAACGAAGCACTATTACGATATAAAAAAATTCTGACGCGAGACATGACGGGAAGGCAGAGTACTAAAGGAGCACGTAAGACTGTGAAATTTTGTAGTCCGCTTTGAGCGGAGCACGAGCGTAGACATTATCATCGATAATCACTCGTGACTTTCCATTCAGCAACAATGAACACCACAGGGGTTATATTATTTATCAATTTTGCCGTTTCGTTAATGCTAGTGGGTATAGATCCCCATTTCTGCAGTGCCGATCATTCTACACAAGTCTACCTACCGCAGCAACTCACGGGACGACTATGTCGACGGGAACCTGCTGGAATAGGAAGCAAAAAATATTTAGGTGATGGTGGGTTTAAAATCAAGGTATCCGGAGACCCTGAAAAATATATACCGGACAAGGTTTATACTGGTAAGATATCATTACTGCTTGTAAACTATAATTATCACATTCGTCTTTTTTTAAAATAACAAACTTAACCAATTTGTCATACGGTACAATGACTTCTACCACAATAAATTATGTAAACGTACATTACTGTAATGTAAACCTTGTTTACTGTCCATTACTTCTTAGTGCTGCGTACATTACCCGTGCTAAGTATCAGGATTAATACCAATTCTGTTTAACTAAATGTCGTAAATGGTAGTTATGTTCTCTATTTATATCGGATAAACAAATGGGTCAATTAATTGTTATTGTTCACTGTTTACTTGGGATAACGAAATACGACAAATAGTTGTTGTATTGACTGCCTATACGTGTAACGAGGTTTCTTTAATTGGTTGTTATGCTAATTTCGGATAACCAGGTGAGTCAAGTAGTTACGGTGTTCACTGCCTACCACGTGTAGTATTACTGTCTACCATGTTAAACTACTTTCCATAAATTTGATATAGTATTCACAGTCTACCACGAACCACGTCCCTTCTACTAGCTTTAACCAAGTCCCTTCAACTGGTTGTAGTATTACTGTCTACCATGTTTAGCTAGTTTCCATAAATTTGATATAGTATTCACAGTCTACCACGAACCACGTCCCTTCAATTAGTTTTAACCATGTCTCTTCAACTGGATGTAGTATTCACTACTTCTACCTACCATGTGTAACCAGGCCCCTTCAACTGGTTGTAGTGTTCACTGTCTACCACGTGTAACCAGGCTCCTTCAACTGGTTGTTCTGTTCGCTGTCTACCACGTGTAACCAGGCCCCTTCAACTGGATATAGTATTCACGTCTTCTACCTACCACGTGTAACCAGGCCCCTTCAACTGGTTGTAGTGTTCACTACTTCTGCCTACCACGTGTAACCAGGCCCCTTCAACTGGTTGTAGTGTTCACTGTCTACCACGTGTAACCAGGCCCCTTCAACTGGATGTAGTATTCACTACTTCCGCCTACCACGTGTAACCAGGCCCCTTCAACTGGTTGTAGTGTTCACTGTCTACCACGTGTAACCAGGCACCTTCAACTGGTTGTAGTGTTCACTGTCTACCACGTGTAATCGGGCCCCTTCAACTGGTTGTAGTGTTCACTGTCTACCACGTGTAACCAGGTCCCTTCAACTGGATGTAGTATTCACTACTTCTGCCTACCACGTGTAACCAGGCCCCTTCAACTGGTTGTAGTGTTCACTGTCTACCACGTGTAACCAGGCCCCTTCAACTGTTTGTTTTGTTCACTGTATACTATGTGTCAAGAAGTCCGTTCAACTAGCAGCTGTGTAATTGTCTATCACGAGTGACAAGCTCTAGCTTTCTGTGAGATAATGATTATCTTATCACATGTCAATTTCTGCTTTTCGTCATGTATGCTTTTCAAACTGCTTTAGTTTCTACTAGCCGCCACATACAATAACTATAACATTTTTATTAACTACCTCTTTTATATATCCTGATTATGTCCATTGTTTATTTCAGGCGATTAATAACTTTCACATTTCTTCATTTTCTCTTTTATATGTTTGTGACTTCTACTAACCATCGCCTTTTTTACCAGTTGTTCTCAGCTCTTTGTCTTTGTTTTTATTTTAAAAGTTAAATTCAACTTAACATGCTTTCAGATACTTAACTACTTTTTAATTGGCAACGATTAACCTATAGGATCTGGGGATTTACAACGCTAGAAACGGGTTTCGATACCGTGGTGGGCAGAACACAGATAACCAATTGTATAGCTTTGTGCTTAAACTACACACATAACCTACCGGATCAGACCTTTAAAATCCTATATTTGAAAACATAATACATTACAAGTTTTGTTTTTCAGTTTGAAATGTTCACTCTTTTCTAGTCTAGTTATCTCATAGATATGTTGCCATTTTACGTAATTTTTCATCATTGTTTACAAAATACTACCAATTATCTCCAAAGTGTATCATCTGAACCCAATATTCACATTCTGTGATGGCTACTAATGTTAAACGACCCCTATTGATCATCATCTTAAAGTACTCTATTGATATTTTCAGTTTTAACAATTAACCAAAACATTTGAAACTATTGTTGAAACATTTTCTCTGGTCGTTATACAGTTCTGTAAATCCAGGGCTATTGGACTAATGGCATAATGAATTGACTGTGATATTAGCTAAATTTCAGCTTGCGCACGCAGATAGCGATGAAACTTAAATATTGTGTCCTTTATGAGTTTCAATAAACAATACAAGTTCGAGTAAACCGTGAATTTAAGTTTTTTAAGGAACATAAGCTAGCAACCCACCATAAGACACCGTTTTTAAAGGTATATAATATTCACATTTTTACCTATCCTAATGTGCCTGACATGGCCAGGTGGTTAGGGCGCTCGACTCGCAATCTGCGGGTTCGAATCCCCGTCACGCCAGACATGCTCGCCCTTTCAGCCGTGGGGGCGTTATAATGTCATGCTCAATTCCACTATTGTTGGTAAAAGAGTAGTCCAAGAGTTGGCGGTGGGTGGTGATGACTAGCTGCCTTCCTTCTAATCTTACACTGCTAAAATAGGGACGGCTAGAGCAGATAGCCCTCGTGTAGCTTTGCGCGAAATTCAAAACAAACAAACCTATCTTAATGGCAACTTACGCTGCCTCACCAGTAGTTCACAGCTGAATATTTTCTTTAACTATAAACTATACATACTAGACACTAGATGGTGTTATCATTTCACCCTTCTTATAACATTAGACTAAAAATAGTTGTGGTTCCTATAAGGTTAGACACGTGTTGGATAAATAAGAAATCAAAATTGACTTTAATTTGTGTACGTTGCCTTAGATAAACAAAAATATTCAATTAAAATAACACATAAAATATTTTGGAAGTGAAGTTTCTCATGTGAAATATTTTACTTCAGTAGATACCTGCGGATTTATAGATTATTTGAGGTTTATGGTTAAGCGAAAAGCTACACAATGGACTTTCTGTGGTTTAATCTCCACGGGTATTGAAATCCAATTTTACCATTATAAGCTTACAAACTTATTGTTGAAACACTGGTAGAGGCAATTATTTGAATAAAATACTTTCGAAAATTCAATCTTGAATGCCTACCAAAACTATAAATCTACTTTGTTTGGGGGAGAGATGAGAGGGAGACAAAAAATTAATAACGTTACTTTTGGGGGACTATAAACAGATCGGTAGGTAAACGGAACCATACACTACTTCTTTTATTTTTGCCTCAGTACCTAATTTTTGGGATTAATTTATTTTGCTTGAATTATTTTCTAAAATGTGGAAATAAATCTGAAAGTTCATGTACAGAGGGAAACATTAAAAAATATTTTAAAATGAAAAAAAAAATGCTTGTTTTGTTTTAGAAATTTTGCACAAATATATATACACATAAACGCTATCTGCGCGTAGCCGTCCTTAATTTCAAATGAAAGACCAAAGAAAAGGCAACTAGTCAATAGCAGCCACCGCCAACTCTTTGGGTACTTTTGCCTGACAGAATAGTGGAATTTGACAGTCACTTTTATAGCGCACCTATGCATCAAAATGTGGTGTGGATTTTTTGGTAGTTAAAATATTCAAATTAGGTATTTTCTTTTATTCAGTTTATTATGCACATTTTAGCCGGTGTCGTTTCATCAGTTCAGCAACATCAACCAGAACACGCTTAGTAGATGGTGCATCAAGTATTTAGATCTTAATCTTAAACCTAAGAACAATAAGAGACAGTTTAGTCTAATCGTTCATTAAAATGTAATCATTTTGGGTATTATATGTATTTAGAGTAATGAACATCATATAAAAGTATTACACGCAAAACATTTATTGTGCAATTTATTTTACAGTAATCTTTTGATTTATTGATTTTTAATTAAAATAACAGCAGAACATGCCAAATTTTCCCCATAAAGTAGCAATAATTCATATGTTATATTAACGCCAACTTAGAGCTAGTTAAACTGTTTGTTATTTTTGTCACAGTATAAGTTCTAGACGGCATATTTACTCTATTTTATCCTCACTAGGCCTAATACTCTATTGAGCTTCTTGTCTTCACGTGACCTCAAGTGTAAAACCTAGTTATTGTTTGAGTCACTGTCACTAAACGCCAACAAATTTGTTTTGTAACGGGAAAATTAACCAAGCTAAGTTTCATAACGTTTCCAGATATGTGTTCACACAGTTTCGAGTAAAGCACAAGATTTTTATTTGCAATATCCAATATAGATTATGATATATGCTTGGCAACGTTGTGGATATATAAAGATCTGCCAACTTTAAAGCCTCTAACAATTATCTATTTTATTTGTGTGTTTGATTTTTATTTTCGCCAAAGCTATTCGAGGGCTATCTGCCTTAGCCTTCCCTAGTTTGGAAATAATAAACTGGAGGAAAGGTAGCTAGTCAAAACCACCCATCACCAGCTCTTGGGCTACTCCTTTACCAACGAAAAGTGAGACTGACCGTAACATTATAAAGCCCCAACGGCTGAACAGGCGAGCCTGTTCAGTGATGGGATCCAAAGTCGCGACCCGCAAATTGAGAGTTGAGCACCCTAACCATCAGTCATTTGATACTCGAGCGGAACTGAAGCCTTTAGTAATCAAGAATTACCTTTAATAGTGCGATAACTTTTACCGGTAATCACTTCCCTACAGAATAAAACAGCTGTCATTTCGCGAATGATGAGAAAAAAAAAGTTATGAAACTAAGCAGATAAAACATACATAAAAAAATATAAACTCTAGACGACTGGTTAATGAAACTCTTTTTAAGATACCATATTAAGTTACTGCTTTAACTCGAACTACAGTTATAAAAAAGAATCATCAAATTAAGGGCTATTTACTATTTAAAATATTACTTGTAAAATCCATAAGTCTTATATCACTACGGGTCGATTTCCCATCAAAGGTTATTAAGAATGTAATGTAATGATTACTTCACCTGGGCGTGTTTATTTTCGATAACCGCACA